AAACCGGTCGTGGGCTGTCGAAGAGTTTTCAGCAACCTTGTGAGTAGTTTCCTTTATGAAAACCAACTGAACAGTTATGTATTATAGGAAGGGTAGCAACTCTGATATGTATCTTGTTTATTAAAACTGTTTATCCGTCTTCTTCTCGAACGCGTCTTCCTAAACTTTTCTTGATACTCACTGACTATCACTCAAATGTAAACGGAATCTACAGAGTGATTCCACAAATTCCGTAATGAATCTCACTTTTCAATAGGTGCCAGGCGGATTTATGAGGAAACATACTACTAGCATGCCTTATCGGTATCAGTCACCGTTGCACCAGTAACGGTAGATTTCATGACTTTTGTGGTACACCCAAGCCAGCAAACCAATACTCGTTGCGAGAAGTTCGGCTTACTGTGGGGATGCAGGAATACAAACTGGAGCTGATCATCAAAAATATCTTGGCCTCCAGGTATTCTGACTCAGCACAGGCAAAAGGGAATTAATTGCCACGCTGAATGGTGTTTGGACTCTCCTACTTATGAGAAAAGACTGTCCTTGTTCGGGAGCAGTATGACCGAAGTCGCCTGGAAATTACGGGTCCCTCTTAAACGACCGGCCTATTGCCTCTCTTTGAGAAACGAAGGCAAAGTATTCCTTCTAGGAAGATGTGGTCATAATCCAGAGTTTGTAAATTAGGGAAACTAGTTTATCTCTTAGCAGATATTAAAGTCAGGTAGCCGTTAGATTCCGTTTTTTTTTAAAACATAACTTGCTATAAAAAGTGTAGCTTTGTGGTAAGTTATATAGATTCAAAAACAACACTACTTTCTTGACATCAGTCGTCTAAATGGCCTCCAATGGAGTCGCCTATTACCTATATAACGTGACACCAACTAACAAAAAATGCATATCCCAGACAGTCACGACACATTTAGTAAACAACTGAAGAAAATGTTGGTTCAGTGCACTTACACTCTCAATCCACTGATATTGTCATCTTGGCTGATGATGAAACGTTTGCAACTAAACAGCTCAGCTCATTGCACAAACCAACGTCCAACACATTTGATATCAAAGTTAATCACTCCTAGATGAGGCAATTCATCATTAACTATTCCGGTTGCAGATGAAGTTGGCTTGTAAACAAGGAGATTTCATGAATAAACCCAACAGTTTTGCACATGTGCCATTACTAGGTAGAATGCACTTTCACGTGACGGAGTGCAACCAGAGTTACTGTAATTAATCCAGTCAACTGTCACTCAGAAGCCGCATTATTCCGAATCAGACCAAAAAGCTGGTAGGCATGCCTTAATATGTTGCCTTTCGGTATTCTGTTGATTTAATGAACCTCTTCCTTGGGTCGATTCCATTCCAGTGGTTGCATAATTTTATTAAAGAACAAGCACGCATAGGAACAAATGACACTTTGGAAAGGTATAAAGATGGTAAGTCTTTGATATTATACGGGCTATGATTAACGAACACGTGAGCACTTTAGCCTCGTGCATCACTACTCACGTGATTTGAATAAAACAACTAGACGACAACTTAAATCATTCAACCACTGATCGATGCACCAGGTAGTTGAATGGTATCATAATTGGACTAGTCTGCTTCAGTCGATGTTCAAATTCTCCCTGACCTCAAACAATACGCTCATGTTGGTTGGTGAGCAAATAGCAGCAGGAAATCGATAAGGTTAATATATTAGTTTCTAGGTGTTGACTCGCATAATGATTAACGATGATGCGATATTGCTCAGACCGCCTATACTGCTCTACCTAAACCACCATGTTCTAAGCAGTTTTAACTAGTTATGCAGTCAGACACCAGTAGTCTGGTAACAGGAAAAAGAACAGATTTGATACTAAGAAATAGACTACCCCCTACATGGCTGCATGCTCTTCGCTCAGCCAAACGTGAACCAAACAACTTATATATTTTCTTTTCAATTTGACGATGAGATAAATGGCAATGATTTATTTTCCATTTTACATATTGGTCCGGCTGTTTTTCCCAGTGAAGTCTGAAGGTATATCCTGCACCTGACCAGAAAGAATGGTGATGTAAATTGAGTAATGAAGTGCTCACGAGCATGCAGAGTTCTTTTCTCTATGCACTGACAGCACCCACACACATGTAATCTATATATTTTTGTGCTGAATTCCTTGGAATAACTGCTAGAACTTTATGGGGATTGATGCACAGGCGTCTGTTGTGCATTTAATTAATGTAGATTCCCGTTTTGGATATTCTTGATGGTTTATAACTACCTTCCGAGTTTCACTCAGTGCTCATGCTCTTTTCAGATACCGAGGGATAGAGAATAATGTTGGAATTCCGTCCAACTTTACGCAGTAGCCCTTTAGCAGGAAACTAGCTTTGCGGAGGGAGGAACAGCCAAATATCCCTTCCCACCAGATCCCCGTACAACTGTTTTACATTAGTTGACGAAAAAGACACTCTACCAGGTCAAGATAAAATAGTTTTGTGCCTAGAATTTTGCCGAAGGGATGTGGTCGAAATAACCTAAGAAGCACCTACAAAGTCTTATCCACCGTGCAATCCGGCTATAAAGTCTAATGAGCAATAAATTTGGCAGATAACACGACTGAAAAAGCCTAGTATCTGCCACTTGCATACCTTTGCACACGGGAAAACCTTAGGAAGTAGAACCCAGTGACAGCCGCAGTTCTACAGCACACCTGAATTTCTTTCCTGATGGTGTATAAAAATGTGGGCGCTGCTCGTCAATGAATCAGTATGACGTTTGGAAGCGACTCAGTGTTTTATTGTGTTACGGTCGTCTGATTAGCAATTTGGTTGTGCGAGAGAATAAGCTTCTAGTGTTTGACGGAAGCTTTCCTAAAAAATGTTACTGCAAGCACTTTGTCCGGTGAGTGACTAGGAACAAACTAGCGCAACCTCAGACAATGTTCAAGTTTTTTAATCGTTATGGGTGTCAAGTTCTCCTTGCTGTCAGTGTCGTGTGGAAAACAGGATTTCTTCTCTTTCCACATAGTTCTGTCATAGTTTTTGCTATGTTTGGAAATACCACAGTAGAAAGTGTATCAGGATTCCCATTTCTTTACAGTGATATCATTTGGAGATGCCAAAACGTATTTTACAAAAGCGTTGAATATCAGTTCAAGACTATTTGCCCCATTGCAAGCGCAAGCAAACTAACAATTTTAAATCTTAGCGAATAAATCCAGAAGCCTCAACCACATCGGTGTAGCACAACAAAACGTGCATATTAAGCCTACAAAAGAGGTGTAATTCAGCTCCACTGTTTGCTTAAGTTCAGTATTCACTGGTTGCATAAAGTGTAGAATAAAATGACTGATTCGTGTTTGAAATTAGAATAATCACAAACTCGACGGAGCCCCAGTGAGGTTCCTCAGTTGGTCGGTCACAAAATATCAAGTCGGCCTCGGATATGGTATACAAAGCATCGACGTTGTATATCCCTCTATACAACCAGAAGCATTAAATTGTGTAGGAAGCTGAAAAAGACCCGATGTTTTCCAGACGTATTTTACTCTTTGACAGCTGGATTGATTATAATGCTCACATATGTGGAGTTGCGTGACGGTTACATGTTCTTCGCTAATAATGACCGTTCTCCAACGATTGTATTATTCTCGGCTTTAGTTTAGTTCGAAATTCACAAGCCTGACTCTTGAAGTTAGGCTGGATCTTATCCTATTAGGTTTGCAATCTCAGGCTGCATTTGGGATCAGCACATTGTTAATTTTGGTAGCCAATAAAACATA